TGCTCAGACATTTTGTATTATTTAGATATTTTCATGATTATTTTACAGGCAATGAGTAAATTAATATTGTTTTTTCTTTTAAAAATTAAATTTTAATATTATTTGAATTCCTTAGAATTGTGATTCAAGAATCAGAAACTATGCAAATGAAAACGTAGCTACAAAAAAAGGCGCCATTATTTGTTTCATTTAATAATTTAGACGGGAAGCCTGCCAGGAATATGGCGACTGTCCCGCTACAGTCTTTGACTGTATGAACGGTGAAGGCAACGAATCTATTGATTGTTGGTTCAGTAAGTTTGTTGTTTTGAAAAACTTGCTACAACCTGCTCTATTTATTCAATCACTGTTATGCTTTACATCTTTCTTCGCTTGTGGTTCCGAAAAATATTCCGAATATTTTTTATGTGGCTTAATTTAAATATTAAAATTAATATTTAAAAAAAATGATCACACAACCAAAACATTCCATCACTTCTTCATTTTCGAAAATACAAGAAAATAATCTATTCTCTGACGATTCACTCTTTGAAATTTTATCTTTTCACGATGATTTTAAATTTATTGTACAGAGGTGTGCATTGGTTTCCAAACAGTGGTTTCATGTCATTAAAAATTCATGTAAACACCTCTCGATAACACGTAGTAGTGATTTGGAAATGGTTGGTCAATTGCCGTTTTTGGAAAATGTTGCAAATCTAAGAGTGATAGAGAATGAAGGTGGATTTAATTGTGAGATATTGGATTCGATGAAAGAATTGAAAAAACTCAATATAGAATTTAATTCTAAGATTGATCCAAGTGGATTCAAGTATATATGTTCATTGGAACAATTGACTGATCTTTATATGACTTTCTGTTATTTTGGATTTGATATTGCTAAACATTTACCATCATTGAAATCACTAACTTATCTTCTTATTACGGGTAATTATATTGGTGTAGAAGGAGCCAAGTATATTGGTGAAATGAAGCAATTGAAACAACTTCATATTGCTAATAATAATATTGGCCCAGAAGGAGCCAAGTATATTAGTGGCCTTGAACAGTTGACTTTTCTTAATATCCGTGCCAATGAAATTACTATGGATGGAGCAAAATTTATTAGTGAAATGAAACAGTTGACTGGTCTTAAAATTGTTGGCAACAATATTTGTGACGAAGGAGCCAAATTTATTAGTGGAATGAAACAATTAACTAATCTTGATATTGCTAGTAATAATATAGGCGAGAACGGTGCCAAGTATGTTAGTGAAATGATGAATATACGGAAACTCGATATTGGGTTTAATTCTATTAATGACGGTGTTAAGTGTTTTGGAGAAATGAAACAATTAACAGATCTTAATGTGAACAGTTGTTGTATTGGATTGGATGGAACAAAATACATTTCATCATTTAATCAATTAACTCATCTTTCTATAGCTGAAAATTTGATTACACCGTACGGGGCTATTCACATTAGCCAAATGAAAAATTTAATTAAGCTTGACATTTCTGATAATCGAATTAGGGATAACGGAGTCCAATCTATAAGTGAAATGAACCAATTAACTGAACTTAATGTTTCTAGTATTGATATTACACCAATAGGTATACAATATATCTGTAAAATGGATAATTTAACGTATCTAATAATTGCTCATAATAATATTGGAGAGAAAAGTGCAAACCAAATCAGTGAAATGAAGCACCTAGCACAGCTTTCTATCTATCACAATGCTGTTGGAGATGAGGGAGCCAAATTTATAAGTGAAATGGAACAATTAACTTTTCTAGATATAGGTTACAATGAAATTGGTGACGAAGGCGTTAAAGCCCTAAGTGGAATGAAGCAATTAACAAGACTTAACGCAGTTGACAACAATATAAGCGATGAGGGTGAAAAATACATTCGAGAAATGAATTTAGCAGATCATGTAGATATTTATGACCTGTAAAAGAAATAAACTTAATCTCGATAGCCAAAATAAGAATAAATCATGTTATTCAATAATGTTATTTCAAGAAGTTTACAGTCATATTCATAAACAAATTTTTATTATTCATTGATTAGCTTTTGTTTGATTCTCCATTCTGAGAATAAATGGTTCCAGTAGTAGTATATAAATAATATCCACATTTTGTATTATTATTTGTTTCGTTCACATTAATACTTTTAGGTGCAAATCCAATCATTAAACTATTACAATTAGATATGAGTTTAACTTTGAAATGATTTGATTTTGTTCCTAAAACATTTGAATTCAAATCAGAAGTGTTTGTTTTCTTAGT